CTTCGAGGCGCTTGGCCGGGGCAACGGGCTGGTCACCGCCGGCACCTTTTGCTCCTTCGCCGAGGCTGCCTGGAAGTCCTGCCCGTCCGGCCCTCTTGACCGCCCCCCCCCTTGCTCTTCGGGGTGGGGGTGTCAGGAGGAACATGAATATCTTCGCTCTCCGCCTGGCTTTTCCCACATCCTGCGATCGTCAGCCCAGGAAGACGGAAAGACGGTAGAGGTAGCCTCGACAATTGGTGGGGGGGGTGTCACTAGAGAAAGAATTGCACTCTGCACGTGGTCAGAGCCCCCCCCCCATCCAATTCATCTGAGGCCTAAAACAGAATGAAAGGTTCTGGGTCACATCCTGATAAGCGCTGGGTCAGATTCAGCACCTCTTGTGGTGAGTCATACAGAAACTGGGCTGCTATGGATTGTCCCAGAGGCAGCCAAGGGGCAGACATAAGATGGGGGGGTCATGAAGATGCAGAACTGCCAGGGCAGCAGATGCCCCCTCCCTTGTGGGGTGAGAGAGGGAGAATTAATAGAAGGGGGTAGGAAGACATTTACTTGGGGGTGTGGGCGATTTGAAATGATGGGGAAGCTGACACTCCTGGGACCAAAAGCGAACCGAGAAACAGAACTATAGAACTGTAGAGCTGGAGGGGCACCTAAGGATCATCTAGACTCACCCCCTTCTAAGGCAGGTGCATTCAGGGCAGATCAGGAACGAAAGAGGTCTCTTTTTAGATCAGTGTGCAAAGGGAATCAGCCTTGAAAACGACTCAGACCTCGGGGTCCTTCTGAGAGGCCACTGCCTGTTTGCCACAGTGGCCAGAAATGGTGCCTTGTGGGGAGGGCGGGGTTTGCCCCCTCCTCTGGGCTGAGCCCATCCTTCCTGGTTCTCTCAGCAGCTGACAGTTGTCCTGCACTGGGTAGAAATACCATGCCTGGTTATCTGTTTTCTGTCTCCCATGGGAATGTTTACAATATTTATTTAAATATTTTATTTCTTTATTTATTCGATTCATACACAATAGAACTTTGCACCAAACACAGGTCATAAATTACTGAATGAAAAATGTAACCACACCCCCCAGATTCTTCAAGCCAATGAATATTTTGAATGTTTCACTTGTGATTTGTGGCTTTCATTCTGCATTTCCTTTTTTCCATATGTGTAAATATCGTCTTTTAATTGTGTTAACACGGTTGTATACTCACTGTTTTCAACTTTAAATATTGCCTTTCATTGTTGCAAGCTGCCCTGAGTGTTTTTTCAAGAAAAAAGGCAGGGTAATAAATATTTTAAATAAATAAGTGGACGTGATCCATGAAAGCTCACTTTAAAATATAGTCACTGGTCTTTAAGATGCCACATTTTTGGTATTTTTCTTTGTTTGTTTCATTTCATTCCTTTGGATTTTGCCTGACACACGTTCTCTCTTCCCCTTGACCTGGACAGGCCAGTGTTGGCTGTCATAATGCACTCTGCGCATGCTCTCGGGAAGCACCATTTTATTTGCGAATAGAGAGGCTTCAAGGAGAGGGAGAGGGAGAGGGGGGGCTTGCAGTGGCCAAGAAGGAGATACCCCCTTACCCTCTGAGACCCCCCCTACAGCGCCTTGAGATACGGATTCGTTGCAAAAAAAACAACAACCGCGCCCCCACCTCCCAGTGGAGGGAGGCTTCAGGTACTTGAATCCTGAGCGTACAAGCCCAGTTCAAGGCTCGTGTTACTGCGGATGACGGATGAACTGATGATGGAGGAGCCCCAGCATGTCACTGCCAGTTGGTCCGTCCTCAGCAAAGGGGGGGCGGGTAACGTTATCTCTCACACACACACCGTGGTAAGGGATCCTTCCTAGAGGCTCTTTTGGTCGGCTTTCCATGATCGGTGGTTCTCGGAGAGAAGGAGCGGCCCCCGGGGGCCCCGAGGCGGGG